GGCCACTGTAGACATGGATCAGGACATCTACCTGGGCAAGAGGGCATCCTGGGATGGAGGCATGGCTGACTGCACACATCTGTCAGAATATATCAAGTGTACCCTTGAAAAGGGTGAGTTTTTACACCTCAATTAAGCCAGCTTAAAAAACAAAAATCCCAGAGGGGGGAAAAAAAACCTGTATAAAAAGTCAGAACCTCTACTTGAAATAAAACAGACATCACAGAGATTTCAAGGAAAATGAATGAATGTACTCCAAAAAGCAGAATGAAAACACTGGAAGAGACCGGGAGGAAGCAAAGGAAGCATGTGGCTTCTCGCTCAATGAGAAAACAGAGGCTTAGGGCCAATATTCGCAGACGCAGGTTACCTCGATTGAGGCTCACTGTCACCACGGTAACCTCGCTGCACATACGAGGAGACCAGCCCAGGCCACGATGTTTCCGGGGAGGGCCAGGCCTACAGCCATTCTCGTCCTCTGCTCTACTGCCAGGCAATGTGAGAATGCAGGCAACGATAAAACCGAACCAAAAGGCACGGCCCAATGACAGAGGAAATCAAATGCGGGCGATTTTTGGCAGTCAAAGGGTGCAAGAGAGGAGTCATGCTAATGCTTCCCTTTGTCGGAGAAAAAGTCCTGGTGAGGGACATGGAGAAGAAAACACAACCACATGCATTCCTCTTGGTTTTGTCAACACTTCTGACCATGATAATACAGAATACAAATACCACTTTGGGATCTGAAACTGAGTGAACTGTGGGTACGGAACAAAATGAAGTTTCCTACTTCGGTAATGTGAAAGGAGACAGAAAAACAAACCTGACCGCAGCCGAACAGTGGAAAGACTGAGAAGAGGTGACTGGACATGGCAGGGTAAGTGCTTCCATATGTCCATCATGGTGGGAGCCAGGAGGGGTCTGCAGTCCAGGGAACAAGGATGGGGAAGCACACACAGTCTGAGCTAACCAACAGAGCAACGAGGCTGCCTATCCCGCCGGCTGACCCAGCGCTCCTCCCCAAGCCTGTTGCCCCTGCCCCCTTAATCAGAGATGCTATGAGAATTAAATACACATTTTATCCATCTCCTTTGTGGCTATAGCTCTATGCTCAAAACAGTTCTGGCCAACAAGATACAAGTAAAAATATACTGGAGCCGAAACCTGTTTGGCTCAGTGGGTAGAGCGACAGCCTGTGGACTTAAAGGTCCCAAGTTAGATTCCGGTTAAGGGCATGTACTTTGGTTGCGGGCACATCCCCAGTAGGGGGTATGCAAGAGGCAGCTGATCAATGATTCTCTCTCATCAATGTTTCCAACTCTCTATCCCTCACTCTTCCTCTCTGTAAAAAATCAATAAAATATACTTAAAAATATATATACTGGCGGTTTCTTGAATGCCCCAATAAAAAGGATAAACATGGGCTGTCCTGCCTGTTCCTTCCCGGTTGTTCCTGCTTTGAATGTGGATGTGATGACTGGAGCTGTGGCAACAACATTGCAACCATAAGGGAAAGGTAACGGAAACTGCAGAGACGCTGGTCCAGATTCCTGACATGGTTGTGCTCTAATTCAACACTGGTAAAAACCGACCTTTATGCTACTCTTAATGAAACAAATGAAGAAAAAAGTCCCCTGCTGTTTAAGCTATAGTAGGTCATGTTTTCTGTTACTTTCAGCCGAAAGCACTCCTGACTGACACAGGAAGAGAGGAGAAGGCAGGAGAAGTGTAACTGATCTAAGTCCTCCTCTATCTGAGCTAAAAGTCATCCGCTGATGTCTAAAACTTATAAATAAAAAAAGAGCGGGTATATATTTTAGATGCGGGGCGTTCGGCAGGGACTGCCATCTGTGAACCAACATCCTTCCTTCTTTCTCCAGGCAGAGCACCCACATTCCAGTCACCTTACAGCCAGTCATGTCACACGACTAAAGGTAAGTCCATTGGGATGAAAACAGAAGTGTCATGTGACAACTCCTGGGGATCTTCTCAAGAACAGGACCACCAAGTTACTGCGGCTGTCTCCTGCCCCGCCCCTGCTCCGCAGCCCCTCCTGTCGTGTGCCCACCTCCCCAAGTGACTGCCTGGACAACAGGCTTTTCTTTTAAGACTCAGCTCCAGCTCACCCCGCGAAGCTCGCCGCCTCTGCCTCCAGAACAGGCTACCTGTCTCCCCACTGCTGCCACAGCACCAGCAGACACAACCCTGAGCCCACCAGACGCTCATGTTGAGGCCACAGGCCATGTCGTCCCTTTCCCGGTGCCTGCCTGGGAAGTGCCAGTGATACAAGTAACCCCGCCTCCCTCCAGTAACTCGGTGCCTTTTCCTTCTAGAATGGCGTCCACAGATCTCTCCTCATCACAATGTGAGGGAGTGATGGAGAGGCCACATCGAACGTTCTTGCCCACGTCTGAGGTCACCCATGGCTGTAAAACCAGGCAGGCGTGCTCATGGCCAGTGGTGGTACAGGGCTGCTGGGCTGGGTTGACAGGTGGCATGAACTATCGCACATCAGGAGCATAGGAAGGTCCACGAGAGGGCGCTGTTGTGCTTCCACAAGCGCCTTCTGTGACGGATGCCTTCAGAGAAACTGAAAAAAAGCAAGGGGGGAGGATGCCAGACTTTCCTGCACCTACAAACCAACCTCTTTGTGGGTTTTTTGTTTTGTTTCTTTTGCATCAGTCTGAAGGTATCTGCATCCATTATCTTCTGTTTAGTCACGACCAGACACAAAACAGCCAGAAGAACATTACCCACAGACTCCTAAGAACAGCACATATACCCAACACTGAAGAGGCGATTGGGTTTCTATGCTCCATGTGGGTCCTTGTTGACTAGCTCCCCCAGCCCATGGCCACCAGCACGTGGCTGTGGTGGGTGACAGTGGTGCTCACGGTAGCCATGTGTGGAAGGGCCTGCACACTACAGGGTGGGGTCTCCAGGCACCTTGTGGGCAGAGGGCACTACGTGGGACAAGCTAGATGTCCAGAAGCGAAACAGTGCCCCACCATGAAGGACAACGTGTAGGTGAAAGGGGTTCCCCATCCCCACGCCCAGACCCTACTTTTACATACAACTCGATACTTTCCACACCCACTCACATTCCAGAAATGTAACCACCGAGAGCAGAAGGGGGCTGCACTGTTTCTTTTGGAGCTAATCCAGGAGCCACCACCAGCTCTGCGGCATGGCTCCGGCCATCACCCAGCACCTGGCGCCACCTGTCTTCACCCGTGTCCATCACAGTGGCCTTTGAGAGCAGCGGTGCCTGAGCTTTTACGTGGTGACCCAAACATTATTTTAGTATGAATTCTTAATTTCCCTTTTATGACGCTTGGGCAGTATAGCGCTTTTAAAAATTATAGTTATATGTGTATAAAGCAGTATCTTCTACGAATTTCAGAATAAAAGGAGGAGCTAATGAGTCATTGTTAGAAAAATAATGCTGTGGTGGCAATGAGACGCACGGAGAGGGCTGCGATGGAGTCCAGGCTCTCGTGGGCCCCTCTCCGAATGTGTACAGTTGGGTCAATACCACAGGAATGCCCAAGTCCACCCCAAGGTGCCCCAACTTCGGGGACACCCTCACGTGTGAAGACACAGAAACAGCTTCAGTCTTTTTAAGGACTAAGCAAGGCAAGCGCGGCATCTGTGCCCAACGCTGAATAGGAAGCTGGACGCCTACAGCGCCCCTGACAGACATGCCCGAGGGTCGGAGAGATGGATGGCACGTGGGGCTGAGGAGATGAGGGCTTCAACTAGTAAATATGGTTTTTAGCCAAAAAAATTCATGCTTATTTAGTTTATTTTAAGCCACCCTGAAAAGGAAAAAGCATATATATCTGACTATTTGTTGCCAAAATTAGCTCCTTTTGTGGAAAACAAGAAGAAGCACAAGCCTTGTATTGTGCAGTCACGGGTTAGCGCGCAGTCAGGAGACCTGACTCGAATGCTGTGACGTCTTAGTAGCAGCCCTCTTCTTCACCTTCTCAGCATGTGCTTCGGAGAGCTCCTTTGGCCTGATTATTTTTCTCTATGGCTTTAAGGACAATTTATTTGAGCAAAAGATTATAAATACTTCGTTTCTCCAATGCCTGTTTACACTAAATAAAAATACTTGCATAAAAATACTTACATAAGCAGCATCATGCATGCCATCGTTCACACCTGCAGCCTGTCACATGTGGGTGGTCACACCTACACTTCGCTCTGCAGCGCTAGGCACAGGTCCCCTTCACACCCCGCCAGCCCAGGGATTCTAGCTTTCAGTAAATAAAGCTACAGAGAAGCTGATTTCGTATCACGACCAAATACAAGAAGATCTATGGCTGAAGATAAACCCCACTCAGGGCACAAGCCATGGACAAAGTCACCCTGATGCCGCCCTCACCCCCCTCTCTCCTCTCCCCTCCCCCTCCCCCTCCCCCCAAGCTCTTACTGCATTGGTGCCAAAGAAAAGCGTCAGCTGAGGATCAAGCAGAAACTCTGTTACACGTCTCCCTAGGAACCAGTTACCCTACATTCCTGACCTTTCCCGACTCAGAAATAACCAGCAGGGCCTTTCAAGCCACAAACTCAACCCAGTGGTCAGACACGGGTACATCTTCACTCCCCAAATATGTGTGTGACTTCTTTCAAAGGCAGATGGTGAATCTCATAACAGACACCAGAAATAAGAACTAAGGACATTTTATTCTAATCACCTCAAAGAAATTGATTTATGGTAAGAGGCTGAAGACAATACCAACCCTTATACGGTGCCCTGAGGCCAGAGACGGCTCCAGGGCCAAAAGTCTCTGAGGGCAGCAGGGCTCCAGCCGGCAGGGGCCGAGGGCACCAGTGGGGATAGGGCACCAGTGGGGATCGCAGAGGGATCCCCAGCAACAACCACCTCTGCTGGGAGTGAGTCAAGAAAGCCCACGTGAGAAGGCGTGATCACTTCACATCAAACAGAAGTCATTTTTACAAGCGAATGTTGGCAATGTCTGCAGGTTCTGACCTACCTTGGAGTGAGTTCAGTTCCTGTGTCGGCTCTGATCCTGGGGCCGGGCCTCTGTCAGTGCGTGTGGGGCTGAGGTCATCGGAACATGCTCTTGGCCAGGTTTCTTCGGCTGCTTCTCAAGGTCTCCACGCCCAACTGGAGAGACTTCACTCTGTGCAATAAAAAGGTTCAATTGTTTGCATGAACGTAACTCAATCTTAGATACTTCTTCCCCCTTTCAGATGAGAGCTCTGATAATAAACACTCAATTAAAAATCTCCTTTTTGAATACAAGTGTAAATTATTTTTAATGTGTTCTTATGATTCTTTAAAGCTGATACACAATTATCGATCATGCCTTCACCCTACTTGCCAGGGCAGGCAGATGCACGGGGAACACTCACAATTCATTTCTGCTCCCAACACACTAGAGCCAACAGGCACCAAGCCACAGGCCAAGGAATGTGGCCACAGGCCCCGCCTGTGTGAGCTTCCCTCCTGCAAGGTGAGCGTGTGTGAGTGCAGACAGAACCGCTCCCGCCCCCTGCTGCCCAGGCAGAGGAGCCACGGTCTCTCCACACACAGGCACCACAAGGCTGTAAAGGGAGGTCTCCATGCCATTCCCTCTCTGGGTAAGAATGGTTTCAACCTGCAAGTTACGAAAGAGAATGTTTTCACATGCTAATACACTTCCAAAACCTATCTAAGTAAAATTACATTTTCTTTTTTAAAAACAAACTGACATCCAAATGAAGGGAAATCCTAGGGCAGACCTGTGCACTAACATGGAAGGCAGGAACCAGAGGGTACCTTGGTGGGCCCTGGAGACTGAGGCTGGAGTGAGGATGAGGTGGGTCTGAGTGGGCAGGAGCCCCTACTGTGCAGACAGTGCAGCCATCAGGATATCCACCCAGGCCACCGGGGCTCCTGCCACAACTACTGGTCCTCGTGGGTGAGAAATGACTGCTTTCCAAGGCCTTCCCCACCTCCCGGCTGTGACTGCTTGGACTCACCGGCACTGTGGGCCAGGACCCCACTAGGACCATCCCAACAGTGATGGGGTCAAGGAGTTGCTATGCAATTAACCACATGAAAACCGACAAGGGCCACCAGCCAACCATGGTGGACAAGAGCTAACACTGCAGGTGCAGAGGGTGGCAAGAGTGTGAGAAAAGTCAGGACGGGGCAGGCTTTGTCTTCTTCGCAAAAGAGAAGGAGAGAGAAGGTGGGGAGGAAGCAGCACGAAGCTGTGGTCTGAGGACAGGAAGCAAGTCCATAACAAGGCTGAGAGCTAGATTCTGCTCCTTCTCAATGCCTCATCCATAGGTAAAAAGGGCAGGAAGTGAGGCCACAGGAAAATCTGAAAGGGGGAACCAGAGGTATCAGATGGGACAAACAGAAAGGCCCACCGATGCGCAGTTCTGTGACTCCAGTTCCTGACACACTGGGCCAGGCGACTCAGCCCCATGCCTTTCTGGAGTCTTTTGCTGAGTGCTCCTGAGCTCCGGACATCCCCCTTGAAAATAGTGTGACCCCCCACTTACCAAGCCGAGGGGCTTCCACAACAGGTTCCCATCTGACTACCTCCTGACACAGTGGTTGGCAAACACAGTGGTCAGTTTGCCGCTCTGTTGACTAATGAGTTTGCCGGCCTCTGTCCTAACACTAGGAAATCCAAATGCCACAGCCATGCTGGTAAAATAGGGGCTGTGTAAGATGTAGCATGCCTTGCACTAATAGCAAGCACAGAAGTAGCTGTACTAAAATAAACATGTCACTCAGCACTGGATGGATTGGCTGTGCCGGTAATAATCACACTGATTAAATGAAGCAATTGTGTTTCCTTCTAAAGTGATATTTATCATTATAATTTAATTAGATTGGAAATTAAGGCTTCATTCTGCAAAAAAAAATAAGTACTCTCATTTTCTACCTTGTAGCTGCATAAATCGATTACATGAGTTAAACAAAGATTTCAACGGAGCAGATTCTGATGGTTAGAGACACCAATTACTCCAAGATACAGAGGCTTGATATGCTCAAGACAAGTGAACAACAACAAATAACCAATTGATTGAAGGATGCTTAGACAAAGAAGCTTTCTCCCCAACTTCTCATAGTGGCTTCCAAGTGCTTAATTAGTCCTAAGGACCGGTACCCACCACCCAAGGAGGGAAGTCAGCAGGCACCAGTGAGCAGATGAGAATGGGCCAGTCATGAGGCTGGGGTACGGAAGGTAGAGAGATGGCCCTGGGCTGAGATGCCTGGTGAGAGGGAGGGTGGAAGGCCTCCTGGGAGAAGGCACCACAAACAAGACAAATGTTGGTAAGAAAGAAAACCGAGCCTGTGTTCAGCAAGGCAGCTATGAGGGTTCTGTGGGCACTGGCCAGACGGCTGAGATCAGAGGTTGTGAAGACCACTGGGTCCAGGGGGAGGGCAGAGACTGGAAACATCAGGTATCTCAGAGGTGTGGGGGCGGGACTCGGTGACTGTCCAGGTGGAGGAATGAACTAAGCCTGGGCAACTCTGAGGACCCAGGCTCCGTGAAGGGCCAGATAGAATTTGACAACCAACATGATAAAATCAAGAGGGGAAAAAAAATGGTAGAAGAGGGCAGTTTTCAATTGTTCTGACTCCCGTTCCTTCAACTTGGGAGTTGACAAACCTTCCCTGGCAAACTGAAGGAGCAGCTGGGAGAGTCGGCAGGGGGCAGTGAGAGCCCAACCGTGCCCATCAGAAAGCTAGACCCAACAAAAACCTCTCCACAGTGACAGTAAGTAAAGATGTTTTCAAACAAGTCACAGCCGAGAAGCTGCCAGAAGCGACCCTCACTAGGAAAAATCCTGAAAGACACAGAAGTGCGCTATTATGGAGAGAGAATTGGAACAAAAAGAACAAAGAGAAGAGCAAGTGGCATGTGGGAACAGAGACCTCCCACTGCTCAGAGAGCAAAGAGAGGGAGCACTCCTGACTCTTGTTAGGAGCCCAGGATCGCCTTTGGAGTAAACCTGTCGCCGACGCCACAGGAATTGAAAACCAGTGGTCAGCTTCTCCTAGGAACAGAAACATCACAACCAAGTTCAATATGTATACACCGAGGATGCGCAGTTGGCTGCACATTTGGAAATCAATCAATAGTGGCGTTTCCATTCAAAAGTTCTTTAACTTAGACTGCTCAATACTTCAAGTTGGTTATTTCCTAAATCTCCATTTGTACAATGTACCTGACACTCTTCTTAAAAAATACATTCAACCTTTAGGAAATAGCTAAAAAGAGGGGTTGGGGGGGCGGGGGGGTAAAGAAGCTGATCAAATGAAATGTGTTTGCCAACCATGGAAATAAAGACCAAGCACAGGAAGTCGCTACACCTTCCTTCCTCTGTGAGGAGGAAAGGCAACTGAGCTTAGCAGGAGCACCCAACCAGGACAGCTGGCCACGGTGTCCGCAGGAGATCTAGTGTGTCCACTCTGAGGGCACCATGAGCAGAGCCAGACCAGGGGGACACCTGGTCTCTGCAGGCTTTCTGAGTCAGTTTCCCACAGATGGGAAGACCGCCAGGTGAGTGCCAAGGGAGAGAAACAGCGGCTTCCCAGCTGTACCCAGAGCAGGTATTCACTGAGGGGTCACAGTCCATGGGAACAGTAAAATTATACACCACACGGTGTTTATATGCCTAGGTGCATCTGCCTAGTGAAAGGTCCGTAGCTTTATCAGATCCCCAGAGCACGCTGGTTTAGCGGAGAAGCCCAAAGCCAGCGGAGCCTCACCAGGGCTGTGAACTAGCCCTAAGCTCAGTCCTTTCTCTGGCGCTTAACCAATAAGATTGCACAGCCTTTCTTTTTCCAATACAACCCTGGCTAGTCAATGGAAACCTAGAAAGGGAATTATTGAGGGGCCCTAAAGTTCAGAATGCATCACCTACACTTGGGTGTTCCTAGGGTTAACAGAGGACTAATTCAGTCCCAAGGAGTGTGGCTTCCATGCTTGGCCGCAGAGCCACTCCACAGCACACCTGCATGGAGAGGCCACATGCCCGCAGCTTCCTAAGACAGTTCCTTATCAATGATTGCTTTGGCTAATCATGCATTTCAACAGCCACCATTCTTGTTTGTACAATTATACTGTTAGTTTTGTTTCATCGTCTCACATTAGTTTCCTATGGATTGTTTGTGTGTACAGTGATGAAAATTTCACCCTAATTTGAACCGTGATTTTTTTAAAAAACTAAACTTAACAGCATCATAAATTATCTTCAGCCTTACTACAAACAGATGCACAGATCCCTCCCCCATTTCTGTGAGGTAGGACCTTTCCATTTATTGGCAAAGAGCCTACTCAGAGTATGTGTCATTTAACTAACTTGCAAACACACTATCAAGGTTAAGTGTAGCAAAATTACCAGCTCTTTTTAAACATATGGAATGCTCTGACATCATATAAAATGAAGTTCCATAAAGAATTTTGTATAAGCTGCTGACAAATTTACTGGAGCTGGCTCACTTAATGTCTTCCCAATTGTTTGATAAAGTTGAGCGGTTTCTCACATGGTTAGAGATGTTCAAGGTACAGAATGCTGTGGCTAAGAGCACTCTAAAAAGGCTTTAATGGAAAACGGTGATAAAGTATAGATCTTCTTTCTTTTCTCCCCAAGAACCCATCAGAGTGGTAGAAAAGGTCATTTTTGGCAGTGAACGAATTATAACAGTGCTGCAAAATTACAAAGGGGGCTGAGCAGCAGACAAAGGCGCTGGCCTGCGTGGCTGAGGCATAAAGCAGATGACATCAGGGTGATCTGAAGAGCAGTGGAAATGGCAGTGAGGGATTGGGGGTGAGGGGGGGGCAAGGATTTCCCCAAGAACAGGGGCCATGACAGGACTTCTAGGCTGAAACTTGAGAACAAACTCTCCGAGATGGTCAGAGGTTTTTCCAGTGGGATCTCAGCATGGTCCTGGGGGCCTGGACAAGAAGCAGGTCAGGCAAAGGGTCATTCCTAATGAAATCATCAGCCACAGGAGGGAGAGGACAAAGCAGAGAGATTACCTGCAAAAGAACAGGATGGAGCTGGCATCTGACTTCTTGTAGACTCCGGAAAATCACAGAGAATGTTTTCTGAGTTCCCAGGGGAAATTATAGGGTCTAAAATTCTAGACCCAGCCAAATTACCAATTAAG